GAAGAAAGTGTCTTCTAAAAACTGGCAGTAGATTTGGGAGTTGATTTTGAGTCAATCTTCAACCCAAAAAGGTCCAACTAGCTCATCTTTATTTATACCAGCCCACCAGTACCCCACCTCCACCTTGCTGGCGTCTGAGTCAAAGTGGAGCTCTCTGCCTGCTACTGATCCAGTCACAGGCCCATCCATCTGGTCCGTCAAGAGTCACTCATCTCATCAATCCATAAAACCTTTGAAAAATCTGCCTTCAGATATTTCTTGGCCCAGTCTTGACGTTTTAACTTATGCGTCTTGTTCAGTGGTGGTCGAGGTTTCAGCCTCCCTTACCTTGGACATGTCACTGAGCACTGAACACCTTGTACTTCTGGGCACAGGTAGCTTGCAGTTCTGGAATATGACAGCACTGGAGGATTATGGGTCAACGGTAGCTTCACGTATGATTCTTCTCAAATCTGTGGCAGTTAATTTGCATCTTTCCTTCTCAACACGTTTCTTGCGACCCTGTTGACTATTTGCAACAAAACGTTTGATTGTTCTGTGATTACGCCCCAATATCTTAGCAATTTCAAGAGTGCTGCATCCCTCCTGAAATACTTTTTACAATTTTTGGCTTTTCAGAGTCGGGTAAATCTATTTTTTGGCCCATTTTACCTGAGGAAAAGAAGCTGCCTAATTATTATGCACACCTTGAGATTGGGTTTTGATCTCCTTAGGCCACACGCTCCCTCACTACACAAATACACATCACCTGATATGCTTAAATCCAATAAGCCTTCAAGTTTATACAGCTTGGAGTTAGGACAATGTGCATAAAAATGGTGATTTGGTCAAAATACTCACTTGCCTAATTGTGCACACACTGTAGATATTTACTCTACATGATATGCATCTAGTCCTGTTGAAAAATATTAGCTAAAAGAGAAAATTGTAGGTTACAATTTACTTGTGCTATTACAGCAGTGTTTAACGCATTGTAAACTTTTATGTGACTTTCATATTTTGAAAGGTTTTGTTTTTCCATATTTTATGATATCAAATACAGATTTAGGCCTCAATCACACTGGCAGAAAAAACACTGCACTTAAAAGCATTCTGTTTCTCTGTTTTCTTTAATGCCTCGGAATGCAGCTCTATTTTAGATAACGAGTCTTTGCACATTGTGGCATTTAGATCTGTATTTTAGAGCAGCGGTCAAGGGACAAAAAAAATAAAATGGCCAAAACCTGCATTTGAGGAAGAGCTTACTAGCCTAATTGTACGTATATGCATGTAAATTAATTCTAGTGGCTAGAATAAAACATTCCGGCCAATAGATTTGGTTTACATCATGGCTGGGCAAATCCCAGCAGCCAATAGATTTGGTTTACATCAGGGCTGCGCAAATCCAAGCAGCCAAAAGATTTGGTTTACATCAGGGCTGGGCAAATCCCAGCAGCCAATAGATTTGGTTTACATCAGGGCTGGGCAAATCCCAGCAGCCAATAGATTTGGTTTACATCAGGGCTGGGCAAATCCCAGCAGCCAATAGATTTGGTTTACATCAGGGTAGGGCAAATCACAGGAGCTAGGTTGCCAAGACTCCTTAAAAATTGCAACTGGCATCAAACTGTTTAAGTTCCCTCTAGTTGGTGCCAATGGTGCTGGCTCCTAAAAAATCCTTCTGCTCCTGGATTGGACAGACTGGCTCCCGAATTTCATATTAATTCGTTCACCACTGGTTTGAACCGGACACCTCTAAACACTGTTTGCAATGTAATAGCACACCCAAATGCACATTTTTTTTCACTTCTGGCAGAAAGGTCCAGTGAAGAAGGGAGCATTTTGATACACCTGTGGGCATGAGCCCATACAGATGAATCACAAGAGAAGGGATGTATTTGACCGATTCATCCTGCCTGCAAAACTGCTGAATAATGCTTCAGCCAACTCAGACTTGCAAGATAAGAGGCAGTAAAGCACAATCACTTGGTAGCAGAGGCTTGCATATATACTCCAGCTATCTCCATGATGACATTATTGTGTCTTCTAGAAGTGGAGGGTGCTATAGCGAAGCTATATTACTACTAACCCCACAAATATCAGGAAACAAGCTGAGCTTACAGTGCCCCTTTCTTTCCTTATCAAGATGTCATAAGTACAGAAAACTGGCCTACCATAACATTCACAAGTGTATCAACAGGCTATCATACCGACAGGAGAGGAAACAGACCCATGTGTGTCATTGTGGAAGCAGCTACTCACTCTGGTGAACATTCATCTCAGTTCTATTTTCCCTTTGCTCGGCACAGCTAAAATACTCCTTGTATTTTAGTCACTCATCCTAATTTGACACAAAAAGGTCAACATTTATGATTTATGAATATTTAATAACGCACAAGCCAACTTTATATGATTTGAGAGAATAGCAAATGGCAGCAAACATATGGGCATGCGGTATCAATTTTGCTATTTAAATGAGCTGTGCATACAGCTTGAAGCCCACACTAATTAGGACGGCCACGGATAATTGTTTTGATGCAATGTGACCATTCAGAAGATGTTCGTTAATGAAAATTCTATTGTCGCAGGATGAAGGACTCCAGATCAATGGGTGATTTGCATTCTGTCGGAGCATTCTCGCAGAATAAGCCTTCAGGCCAACAAGTTGTTGAACTCTGACAGCTGGCATTGTCTGCCCACAGAAGACAGGAAGCTGCAAAGTTGTGCAATGGAACTAAAGAAATATAAAACAGCCAGCCTGGCATAGGGTAAGCATGTCCCTATCATGAGACCACACAAACTCCACAAGACTGCTGTATTTACATGTACAAAAGCCCTTAGCGCTGGATGGTAATACAAGATGACTGCAGCTGCATGTCTGCTCTCCAGAGTAATAAACTGCACTTCATTGGCGAATGCCAAAAGACTTGAGCAAACCATGAAAAAAAACTTTTACAATTAGATTGTTCACTTAAGCGGTTGTGTATAATAGAAATATATAAATATATATTATAT